CAACTCGGCTCTAGAGACACTAGGGGTTAGTCTGCCATGGTATCAGCCCAAGAAAAAGATTTTTAAAAATTAAATAAAATTCTAGTTAACAAATGAAGTTAAATGCCCAAGACAATCCTAGTATGTGCTTTATAACAATTCATGATTATTAACCTTAAAAGGGCCCATAAAAATTTACTAATTTTTACACCAAGTTGATTCAATATTTCAAGGGAAATGAAAGGTATTAATCTAATTGTATAAACAATGAAGGTTCTCCAGGTGTTCAATTCCTACTGCATGATCAGTCAGGCAGAGGTTGACACTAGTTATTAATATCACAGTAAGGTATCTGACAACCACCTTCTTTATTAAGTTCGCCTATTTTAATGACGCTGGAATACAGAAAAGATTATTATTTCCTAGAAAAGCAGATTTACATTTTTATCTCCTAACCAGTCTGGACAACAATAATATTCTCATTCACCAAAAGAGGAAAATAGATATCTAATAGCAAAATCTATGTCTGAATGCAAATACAACTAAACATAACTAAAGGACACTAAATGCTAAAAATGATACATGCCACTTTGGGGCCCAATAATTAAAGAGCCATAGAAATTCCATATGCAAAAATAAAAATAATTTACTAGTTTTTTCTTAAAACACTGCTCCAACCAAGAAACTTTCAAAAAATATTAATTTGCCCAATTAGCTCCAAATTGCCAAATCAATAATGTATAATCAGAACAATTTGATTCATCTATAACATCTCAGTTCTGCTTTCCAATTTAAGACAAGTAACCATAAGGCTGAAAAATGACAGTAATTTCTTGACTGCCTGAATGCCAAGGAAGAAAAAAAAAAGTAGCAGGAGTTATTGACATCTCTATTATAACATAAAAAAAGACTATTTAAGGACATAAATGCAACATTTAGATTTCATAAATGAGACCTAATTTGGTGTACATGGTCAACTAGTTTTATAAAGTCCTGATTCATAGTCTACGAAGATCATCAATTTGGGAATTAACAAAACTAGCAAAAATCAAAGAATGCCAAATGATTTAATTGTGTTATATCTGTGAAGTATTACAGAAATATAAAATGAAGTCTTTTTTTTAACTTTACCAAGGGAGTAGAAAAATTTGTAATAGCATACTATTTCAAGCTTCTACTGTAGTTTACATTTTACAAATACAATGACTGTGGCATATCAGACCCCATGTAATAAAAAGTGGTTACTAATGATCAAAAATTACATTGGAAAATGAACATCAAGAAGTCATTACTACCATAAAAAAATCTTTTACCACAGGGAGCCTTTAAAATGTGAAATAATCACAAATACTATTTCTAAAGAAATCTGCTATCAGAACCATCAGTCCACTGGATTCTGAACTGTAATCACAACCCTTCACGGACTTCGCATAACCTGACAATACGTTACAGTTATAAACATGTCAAAATCAACAAAGTATGAAAACCGTAGAGCAAATTAGCATTTGTTAAGTACCAACCTAATTGTCTGGGACCAAAATGATTTAATTTCTACTTCCCATGGTAAAAACAGGAGATAAAATTATATCATCACTAGCCACCATTTATTAAGCATGTCTTCTAATCCCATCTAATGAAAAACTTAAGAAATTTCATATAAAAATGTTTGAAACTTTTCTACATTATTTATTTTTAAAACAAGCCAAACTATATATCAGTGTACTTCATCTATCTGATTAGTATCATATAATGAATGCTCTGTGCATGCACGTGTTAACGCAAAAGGGAAGAAATTCTTCAACAGACTCTGAGTCTCCCAAATATGGTTTGTGTGACTAACAGCTGAGAGGAAATGCAACTGAAACTGTCTGCTGGAAATCCATTAACAGCTAGGCACAGGAAAAATGCCTGGGTGACAGTATAGTTGGATGCGCAAATTTGTGCAGGAATATAGCCAAATTTTTGGCAATCCCTCGTGGTCTTAAGTGTATTGACAATGGCCTTTCTTTTTCAGTTGTAATACCACATTTAAAGAACATTATTTGAGTTGGAGGACCTGCCTGGTCTTTAAAACAAACAGGCTTAAAGCTCAGATTTACAAAGGCATGGCATTTTAAATAATACAAACAAAAATTTGGACAAAAAATTATATGCTCCACAAAAAGTGCTATGCACAGCCAAAAGAAAACAAATCAGTACGTTAAGGAAAATAATGTATGCTAATTTACATATCATTCTAATTTCCCTTTAAATATATTATCTTAAAATTTTCTGCAAAGATCATTTTAAGGATTATTATAGTCTGAGAAGGGAGTGTTTTTAAAGGAATGTTCATATTTTAAAGCATATGTTCTTAATATACTACTTTATAGATTACATCTAGTATTCGCTTGTTAAATAAACTAAGTATTTAACTTTACAAACCATTTAATAGCCACATTTGATCCTAGTCACTCTGTATTGAGCCCCACCTATGTACTCAATGCTGTGAAATATTATATAAAACAATGAAAGCATTTTTAAGAGTTTATAACTTAATATGGGTATAGTTTAAACAAATGTACACATTTAAAGATATAAATATGCTATGAGCAGCTCTAATTGTTGTGGTGATAAAATAAATTGAACGTTTTGCAGGAAAATACTGTAATATTTTACAAGTGAGCAGTAATAGGTAAAATTGACTCAGTACTTTGTAATTAAGAAGTGATTCTCATAAAATTCACTGAATCCTCAAAACAATCCATGATACCCTATGACTATTTTTGCCCCATTTTATTGATGAAGAACCTAAGATCAAGAAAAGGTAAGTAACTAAACCAAATTTACACACTAAGTACTAAAGCCAAGATTCAAATTGGGTTCTCACAGCTAAATCAAGGCTGCCCCTGGATTTATAATTTTCACATTCTTTCATGTAAGTAATCTCATCTGATCCTCACAACAATCCAAGGGATAATAATAGCAGCTAATATTCACTGAATACATATTATGTATCAGGTGCTCTTCTATACTATATTAATTCACTCCTCACAAACCCTATAAAAGGAAGGGTTACATTATTACTCCATTTTACAGGTGAGAAAACGAAGGCTTATCGAAAATACGTAAATTGCCCAAGATTACACAGCTAATAGGTAGGGGAATCAGAATTTAAACCCAGGGCATTTAGTTCCAACACCTGCTTCTTTACCACCTCACTCCTCAGAAGGGTGAACATAGCAGGTTAAGAAACTTGCCCAAAGTCACAAGGAAAGAAAACTAGAGAAGGAGAAGAAGGATGTCTTCTAGCACTTCACCCTAATTACTTTTCCTAAATATAATTGGAATCACTGAATCCAGATGAGGCAAGGTGGCTTTGGGTGTAGATAGCACTTTAAAGCAGAGTATGAGCAGGTGAGGAACACTGGCAGGAAGAAGGAATCCTATCAGGATAGAGACAACTTATCTTCCATAGACTGGAGGCAGAAGAAAGGAAAATAAAATGTATGTGAGCAGAGACACGTGTATTTGCCTTTCTGATGTAGGAAGTAGGAATTAGGGTAGATGAAGATGGATGACTCTAATTAAGGAAATCAGTAAAAGTGAAGCATAAGACTGATTTATTTTGAGAGAAAGTTTAAAGCCACTGAGAGATTTTGGATAGGTATTGTAATGCCTCCAAAAAACTGATACCCCTACTCTTGCCAAAAGTACCTGGCACACAGGAAGAAAACATGTAAGCACCGAAAGAATTACACATTTTCATTTTTTTCTTTTTAAAAACTAAAATGTCATTTACAGTTTAGCAACTCCTTTTGACTGTTAAGAACCTTCCTTTGGAGAGAAGAGGGAAAGGGGAATATAATTGAGTATAACGTGCTTCTCAGGAGTTCTCAGGCTATGAAGCCATGGTACTGCTTACTTTAGCACATAGACTTTCCTCAGAATGCTGTTAAAATCTGATGAAGGAAATCACAACAAAATCTCGCTCAAATGAATAAACTGAAATGCCAATCTAAACCTCAAGTATACGTAAAAGGAGAATTTGTAACAGATAGGGGGAAAAATCATGGCAGAGATCAAACACAAGGATACCAGGATACTAGGAAGCAGGACTTTTTAGAAGACAAATTAAGTGAGGCAATCTAACCCTAATAGAATTTCTTCGCTCATTACTTAAAATAAACCAGGTCACTGAAATGGGCTTATACTGTGGCATTTTGTGCATTTCAATTTCATTTAAATTTCATTAAACCATAAATTCCCATGGAAATACCTTAGACACGTGCTCACAATAATTAGAATGCCTAACATTTCAGTGTAAGTACTTTTGCATGAGTTCAACAAAATAGAAAGAATGCAGTGAGGTCCCTTTAAGTTTTTTGCTTATGTCAACAGCTATTTTATGATAAGAATTATCTCTGTGGTTATAAAGCATGTGTAAAATACATTACAGGAGTCCATGAGAAGCCTTAATGTGAAGATCCAGTAAAGGTCTGGACTGCACACAGACACATCAAAATCAAGCTAAACTTCCTAGAATATAGCAATGATAAATTTTTCCTCCCAAAGCTATTACTGTTAAATATACCTTGTTGAACTAAGTTCAAGTGTAACTACAACTGAAATATGATTCAACTGAGCTATGACCTATTTTTCCTCTCAAAAGCAAAAGAGAATAATGACAGTTGTGAGACTTAGATTTTTCCATTCCGGGGTATTTCTGAAAGTTATTTCACAGCACAGCTAAAGGCAACATGCACTCAGTGACACTTATTTGCTTTAAAATATAGTTACGTATGCTATTGCTCATAGGACAGTTGTAATTATTTAATAATTTGTTGTTAAAATTCATGTGTTCACTTACTTTTAAACTATACATACCAAGAAGCATTCTGGAAGGAAATAATCTCAAAATGTAATAGGACACCTAAATCTACAGTTCAATTATAACTATATATCTACAGAACAACAGAACCAACATCAACATGACAAATACAAAATTAACATATACTGTATATGTGGTTGAAAATACCCACCCCTAGCAGAAAGCTTTTTGGTGTTGATAATTTTGGCAGCATATTCTTGTCCAGTAGGGATTTTCATACATCTTCTCACCACTGAGAAAGCCCCCCTGAAAACCAATAATTAGCATGTCATCAATATAATCAGCTCTGATATCCCTTTAAAAAATTACAACAATCTGAGCATTTTTATTGCATTTAGTGATTTGTAAAATATCAGTGCACTACAGTAATATCCAGAAAACGAACGATTCTTCCTGGAAATCCAAACCTTCTTTAATGTTGAAGAGTAAAAGTAAATTTTATTTAACTGGGAGCACACATTATTAATCAACAAAATGAAAGGAACTGCCAATTATGATGGCTCTTGTTTGCACATGAAATTTGAAAACATTTTACAATCACACTCACATAGCACCAAATGCTCTGAGAAAAAAAAAAAAAGAAAGAAGCCCTGCAAAAAGCATGGCTGAGGAGGAGCAGCAAAAATCTTCTGCCTATTTATTTTGTTAGAAAAAAAATTAATGTGGCTCCGAGTAAGTAAATATGGCGATTGTTTTCATTAAAATATAAATTTTGGGAACATTTGTGTGGTTTAACAAATCCTGATATGGTGATTTCTCTGTGCCCTGTTTTGAGCTGGGGGAAGGGAGAGATTTGAATTAAGCTGCTCTTCCGACATATTCTCCATGTTTTAACAGCAGACAACATATAAATATATAAGGATATAATTTTCATTACATTTAAAGGATAATTATATTTTCTTGAATTCAATTGTATAAAACAACCACATACATATAAACGCACCCCTTTCAGAAGTAATAGTCGACACTAGCGACAGAGGGATTGGGTTTGGGTTGGATGCTACATAAATCAACATTCACGGTTTGGCCCCTAGGTCCCTAAGCACACAGGTCCTCAGAAGGTCTCCGGTCCCCTTCCTTAAATTCTCCGAGTAGTTCTGCCTGTCGGGCGTAGGAGGTCGTTTTATACAACGCTAGGCTACCCTTGGGAAGCTTTCTCTCGATCTCCAGGTCTTTCCCGTTGCCTGTATAAATAAATCCTCCCAGAGAATGCGAAGAGGCACACGTAAATCGTAGGAAGGATGATGATGAGCGAATAATCTAATGCAAAGAATAATAGTGGATATGGGGCAAGGGTTCGAGTTCCTTTGGGTGACCCTTTTCCTGGACAGAACAACTACTGATGCGAAATAGACTCTACGACAAGTTGAACTTTCGGCATCAATAAATATGGCACCGTACGTGCGTTGTATGGCCGACACGCCGGCTAACCAGGAGGCATCTCTATTTACAGAAAACATGATCTATGTTGCATTTTACATGGGTTCTTGTTTCCTCTACACACACACACACACACACGCTCGCACACTTCTCAGGATGACAGCTACAACTGCAGGGATCGTAAATCCACTAAGTCTCTAGTGCAAGAGGGTGGGGGAGCGGGAGAAGGTGGGTTTAGGATTATCGGAATGGGCCACCAGCTGGGGTGGAGGGTCTTTTCCCGTCTCTGTCCCCTCCTCTTGCTAAGGCTGAGCACCTTTCTCAGAGCTGCCACACCACTGGCCCTCCTCCCTCTCCTCTGGTCTCCCAAACTCCCTCGCCCCACGCGGGAGGCCGGTGGGTCTGGGGTAACGCGACCCGCCCTCTGCTGGAAAGGGAACGTGCGGATGCGGGTAAAGGCGCTTACTTTCCGAGCTCCTCGAAAAGCTGATACTCGTCCGTGAACCTGGTGCAGGTTGTGGTCGAAGCCATCCTCGGTCCCTGGCTGGGAGCGCGGCAGACGAGACTCGAACAGACGCGCGGCTTCCCCGGGACTGGCCCCACGGCGCTGTCACCCAGGGCCGCCCTCACTTTCCTCGTCCGAAAGTAGCTCGCCCGGGAGGGAGTGTGCGCAGGGGCGGGGCGCGAGGGGAGATGACCAGAAAGGGTGGCGTGGGGTCTCCTCCCCACGGTCCGCCGATTCTCTTCCTCCTCCTCCTCCTCCGGCCCTTGCTTCCTTCTCCTCTGGACGCTCCACCCGCCCCCCTTCCAGCCCCTCTCCCCAAATGCAGGGTGCAAAATACTCAGGAAGAAGGGGCCGGGAAATGGAAAACAGCCGGGCACGGGGCGAGAGGCAAGCAGTTGCGAAACTAGCGCACCGGGGCTGGAAGGGTAGGGGCCGAGGGGAGGGAGCCCGAGGGGGCGGAGGCCGAGGAACTGGGAGCGGACAGCTCGAGCCCAGCTGCAGCTGTCAGCAGGCGCGGGCGCCGGGCGCGCGGGGGCTCGGCCGAGCGTGCGCGCCCGGGGCCGGCCTGCCTCCCGCTGGCACCTCGGCTGCCTGACGCTCCCCCACGAGCCCGCGCTGCTTCGAGACTGCGCGGCGAGAGAAAAGAGCGCTCGGATGGGTCGAAGCCTAGTCGGCTGTCCCCAGGCCTCCGCCTCCTACCCCCTCACCCCCCCCCCGCCGCCTCCTCCCACCACTCCCTCCGCCTGCCAGCACTCCTTCCCTCTCGAAGCCCCCTCCTCGCCGGTCCCACACCTCCCTCTAGCGACTCCCAACCCTATGCCTTCGCGGATTTCGCTCTCCCGCCCCTGGGTCTCACACTCGCGCAAACCCGTCTAGGGAGAGACCAGGTGGGTGGAGGAGGATGTACGAGGGAGAAGCCTACAGAGGGTTTAGGTGAAGGAGGCGAGACGTTAAAATTACCCAGTTAAACTCGCTATAAAGCTGCTGCCTAAATCTGGGGTTGATTTAGCGGAAAGATGCGGGGTTAAGTCGTGAGCTGCCCGGGGATGCTGCCGGGGCCCGTGGAGGCCCCCAGCCGTGTTGGGGGCGCGGGGCGCTAGAAACCGCTCCAAGCCGACCCGCGAACCGCGGTGCCCCGGGTGGGACGGCGAGGTGAGCCACCATTTCATCTCGGCGCCGCTCCGTGTTGACACAGCGGGGGCCGGATGTGGGCAATTGACAGCTTCCTTAGAAGGGTTCCAGCCTCCCACAGCCTCCCAGTGACTCTGGGCCCACCCCAGCAGAAGCCCCGCGGCCCGCTCCCAGCCCGTTTAGCGAGGGGCGACGCCCGCCGTGCGTCACGTTTCACTTCTGATATGACTGCCGCCTCACTCTCCACTTCCCCCCCGCCGTTTTCTAGTTTGGGTTGCTCAGACTCTGGCAACCCCCGAAGGCCTTTGCTTCGACCATGAACGCTAGAATGAAAGCAAAAACTCCCCCATTGAGCCACACCTTCCTTTCAGAGTAACTCCCCTGTAACCTCAGTAAGTTCTGATAGTAAAGCGGTTTCTCGCGAGATTTCCTGCCCTGGCTGCGGGGGCAGGGTGCTGGGAAGGTTGGGTGTCGGTCACGCGACCCGTTTGGGACTGACGTCACTAGCATCACGGGAACACGTTCTCGCCCGTTTCGTTTTGCAAAGAAAAAAAGGGAGAGGGAGAGGACAGGAGGGGTGTGCTCTGCTTGTATCGTCAAAGATCTGGCTAGATAGTGACACATAAGTATACTTTGTAAATGACTCTGAAAAGCCACTTAAGACTACGTCCTATTCATTAGCATACAGTAGATAGGGGAAAAAATTATGCATTACATTTAAAATCAATCGCTGATTGCTAAAACAACCCCTGGACCTTTCTTACAGTCTTACGTCTTTAATAAACTATGCAACTGCAAATTTAAAGGCAGAACAAAAGGGTTATGAACGGTATTTCCAAATTACTGTCCTTTGTTCTACAACATGGGACCCTAAAAACTTCGCAGTTCTGCTAATGTGTTCATCATTAGCATTACATCATGGATTCAAAATTCCACAGCTGGAAGATAAAAGATAACTTGGTTATACAGACAATCTAAAATTTAGAGGAATTGTTGCTCGCTCCCAGGGGCGGCTATTGATTAGTAAATTACCTTGTCCACGGTTACACATAATCGTTAATTTCCTCATTTCCTCATCTGGGGAATGCTAATCTGCCAATAGTAGAGCTTTTACTGAAGTTTTCAAAATATTTACAAATTTTAACAGTTATAACAAATTTGAACTTTGTATATATTTGTATTCCCAGCGGTAAAAAGCAATTAGAACATTGTGTAAAATGTAATAATACAAGATATCAAAAGCTATATAAAGAAAGAAACAGGTGTCTAAGTATTAATAATTGAGCTATAAAATTGAAAAAAAAAGATTCGGTCTATGCTAAAGATTTTTAACATATCTTAAATACTTAGCAATATGGTTCCAAGTTATAATGTAATAATTTTCTCTGAATCTAAAAATGAAACAAAAAGTAAAATTAAAACAATAAATAAAGATAATATTAAATTTTACAACTCCAGGGAAGAAAAAAAATTTTTTTTAAATATTCAAATAATGAGGCCTACATCATTACAGTATTTATCTCAGTTATTTAAACTACCAATAATTGTGAATGGTTATGATGATTATATGATACAATGAAGGAAACATAACAGTTTTAATACTGATGTATTATTCAACAATAAATGTGTATTTTAAGTACTGCTTACTCAATATTTGTGCTGTTTCTTGATTTATATCTTAGACTGATTAAAATATTTATCTTATTTAAACAAATATTGATAGTTATTTCTGAAGTTTGGGCTTTCTTAAGTAATCCTTCTAAATCAGTAATCCTTCTAAAGTTACACAGAAATTCCACTTGGATTATCATCTCTTGCCTTCTTCCTGGTCTCCTGCTTCTGCCCTTGCCCCCCTTCATTCTAGTCTCTTCAAGTCAGGCATAATGGTCCCCTTAAAACCTCAGTCAGAATAAATCATGCCTTTGCTCAAAAACTTCTGAAGGCTCAGCATCTCAATTAGACTAAAAACCAAAATTCTAAAAATGACTTACAAGGCCTTCAGGGATCTGCCCTCCACACTACTCCATTAGTCTTCCTACCCTCAATTTGTGCCCTGGCCCATTCTACTCCAGCCACATTGGCCTCTGCTGTTCCTGGAGCATAACTTGGCATGTCCTGGAACTTCACATTTGCTATTTTATTGTTCCTGGAATATTCATCTCTCCTATTTCATTTCTTCATCTCCTTCCAGTATTCTCTCAAATATCACCTTATCAGTGCAGATTTCCCTAGCCAATCTATCAATTACTGCACATTTTTCAGACACGATTTCTATTTGCACTGCCTGCTTTATTTTCCCCCTTAATATCTATTACCATCTAGTATACTATAAATTTTATTTTTTTCCTTGTTAATTGTTTATACTTCCCAACTACAATATAAACTCCCCAAGGGCATGAGTTATTGTCTATTTTGTTCACTGCTCTATTTCCAGCAACTAGAATAGTGCCTGGCACATAATAGCTGCTCAATGAATTTTATTGAATGGGCAAATTAATTATTTTGGAGTTTAAATACATAATTACAATTTTATATTAAAGTTAGTTGTTGATAATTATTTTTTATTATATTTTTAAGATTTTATTTATTTATGTGACACAGAGAGAGAGAGAGCGACAGCAGGAACACAAGCAGGGGGAGTGGGAGAGGGAGAAGCAGGCTTCCCGCTGAGCAGGGAGCCCAATGCGGGGCTCGAGCCCAGGACCCTGGGATCATGACCTGAGCCGAAGGCAGACGCTTAACGACTGAGCCACCCAGGGGCCCCTAGTTGTTGATAATTAATATGCCAGTAAAACTTCTTATTCTAAGGGTGATCATTTTCAGTCAAGATACTCACAGTAGCCCATGATTAAAAGTGCTTATGCAAAGAAAGGGATTTTAAAAATACATTAAAAATTGACATCAAAGGAAAAAGATCTAGTACTAATTTTCTTGCCATTGAAGTCCATAAAGGAAGAAGGAATTTCCAGGGTTTTTTTTAGATATACCAGCCTTACTAAATTTTACATTGTAATAAAAGACAGATGCCAAAAGTTTCAAATGATTAGATCCCCCTGTGAAGACACAAATCAATGTAAGAAAATGAAAAATGTGGCTTTGAAATGAGTTTTTGTAATTCCTAAACTAGTTAAACACCACCACTACTATTAAAGAAGATCCATCCTATGATGTGAAGAAATAGGAAGTCATAAATGTGAAAAGAACATCAGAAGTTACAGAATGAGAATGAAGAATTACCAGATTAAAGTTAAGAAATTTTCTAAAATTTAGTAACAAATATGAGCTGAAGATTATACAAAAAAATAAAATGTGTTGTTCAAATGTAAATGGAAAAAAATTATAAACATGTACATACTCGGTATCTCAATTGATTTAAATTAATCACACAAAAATTGAGATCAGCTAGTGTTATAAGCTCCTAATATTCTATTTGCTAAGGTGGAAGAAAAGCATTCATAATTTTATCTTCTTTTAAAATGTATTCTTTAATACTGGAAAAGGTAACAACAAGCAAAGGAGGAGGGGTGAAGTTTAAGGGTTGGAGGCTTGGGGGTAAACTAGTTGTAAGCAGAGCCCTATCACTACTTACATTGCTAGACTTCTATCAGATGAAATCACATTAGTACTAAGACCACACAATATTTTGTTATAAATATATTTCATCCCTTTTGTGTGTGTGTGATAGCATCAACTACAAAAAGTAGCAAAGAGATAGAAGACAGACTGAAAATGATCACTACATAACCGAAGATAGAAGATATCTTTTTTCTCTTTTTGGCCATTTGCAATTAAAAGGCAAGCCAATTAAAAGGCAAGCCTTCAGTAGTCTAGGAAAGGATAAGTTTCTAATACTTAAGTAAACAAAACAGATATTGACATTCATTGATTTTCCTTGCTACAGAATTACAAGACAAGAAGCAACGAACAGGTGATGCTATCTCCATAGCTCCCCAGAGTGAAGACTATCAGTAATAAGTAGATTGCTGTGAGAATTTTAGCACGGTCTGTATTGTGAACACTTTTCATTGAAGATTTAGAGGCAAGGAGGAGAGAGCAACTTGCTGTTGTTATTTCCAGTTAGCCTTCTCAAGGAATGGTAATTTAACCACATAGAGCCAGACACAAATATAGTCACTAGTGAGCAGATAATCTATTCACCAAACTCTCCATTCATGAAAGATGAATTTGCAGATGAAGAAATAAATTATTCATAAAACAAATCTCATAACAGAAAAGGTATTCTTTGTTTCATCAGGTCCTGAAAGAAGTAATTTTTCCCTACAGATAAACATAAATGTGTAAATGAATGAGGAAATAAGGGATAGCCCCACAATGAGGTAGCTTTTTGCCCATTACTTCCAAGTATATGGGTTAGCATATTTGATCCTCTACCAAGATACCTAACACTCTGCTAAAAAAACTGTAGCAGAAGATTATATTGAATATGATGCATAAATCAAAACAACAGTATAAAAGGTTGTTGATCATTAACAAATGTCTATATATAATAGATCATTTTCAAGCCTTCCATTGCTTGACTTCTCTGTATCATTTCATACTGGGTTTAAAATGTTCTCCATGGGTTTCCATGTCTAACACCACATTTTCCATTCACAGCACCTCCCCGCCCCCACAACATTTCTGTCTCCTTTTTTCAGCTTTTTTCAGTCCCATTCCTGAACTCTTTTTTCTCCACCTTTATGGTAAATGGTGTTCTTCAGCATTCCATTTTAGGCTGCTCTTTTTCTTACTTTGCACACCCTTCTCAGGCTGCTTTAATAACTCATTATCTTGATTATTACCTGTCTTAAATTTGGCTCTCTATATGTAGACCTGAGACAAAAATGTCTGGACAAGGGACTTATTGAGGCAGAGCTCTCAGAGAAAAGGATAACGATGTGGAGGAAGCAGGACAAAAACAAACAAACAACCCAGTGTGTGACTTCAGGCAAAGTCCCAGCCTCCACTTGATCTACGTGCAGCTCTAGAGTGCAGATTACATCCAGATTTTGTTCCCTTCCAGGTATGGACTTTCCTA